ACCAGCTCTTGCAGCTTGCTGTATTGTGGAGTCGTCTCCATTATTTGTGTATGGTAACACTTGAAAGAGAGGGTTTCCATAGAGCTGGAAGCATTCACAATAGCTGCTACTCTGTAATTTGGAGCAAATCCATTATTCACCTGTGCTCGCAGGAACAAATGTGTATTGGTGTCTAATTAGCCCAGCAGTGAAGTGGCCGTTGTGCCACCACCCAGGGCACCACAAGCAGCACGGGGAGGTGGTGAGGGCAGGGGGATGAGGCAAACCTTGGTGTGAAATGGGGTGAGAACAGGATGACAAATGCTGGAGAACTGTTTTAACTGTTCTGCTGTTCTGCATCCATCAATATTGTCTTTTCGTGGCAGAAGAGGCTGCTCTCCCTGGTGAGCGAGGCAGAGTTGGGAGGTGGAGCCTTTAACCCTGATAAGGTTGGAGCTGTATATCCTAGGAATGATTTGTTCCAGGTGGTTTTGGTACCTGGTGGGTAAGGCAGGCCAGCTGGCGAAAGGCAGAGACGTAGCCTGTCTTGCCCGGTGTCGTGCAGTAGTTGCATGTTAGAGCCAGGTGGAAAACGCAGGTCCTGCAATGGCAGATGCAGCCACTGTCTGCTGGCTGCCTCTGCAACTGTTTTCCAGGTAGTTCCTGCCCTTTTTGTCTTGTTCTGTCAGAACTGTAGGGACAACAATTATTCCCAGCCAGGTCCCCTGCTGTGATCCACTGCTCTTCAGCCTGGACCTTGATGTGATCTGAGACTCTACCCTCTAAGTAGTATAAAAAACACCTGAAAAAAAAAAAGCATCATTTTTGACAGGCTGATTCAGCCCAGATCTGCTCCACTGTGATCTTTAAATCTGTCCCACCTGCAGGGCTGTTCTTCACTCGTCTGGTTTGTTGTGCAGGCTGGTAGTCCTGGTCTGAGTGCTGTGCTCTGCGGGGATCCTCCCTTCTGCTTTCTCACCTCAGGTGCAGAGGATTCCCAAGACTCCTGTTCTAGCAGTTGGCTTTGTTGCTGGTTTGGGGTTTTTATTATTATTATTTTGTTTTTGTTTTGTTCTGTTTTCCTTTCCTTTCCTCTGCTAGTTTTGAGAGCTTCTCAAAGGCTGGCAGCCTCTGGACAGAGTGTTTAGGTATAAGCAAAAGCATTCCTGGCTTGTGTTCCATAGTGCGCTGAGTGTCCTGGATACACACGCTGACATTGTCCAGACGGAGCTGGATTTCATCTTTATGGATCTGTCTCCACTGCAGCAGCAATCTGATCTGATTTTTCTCCCTCCAGAAGAGCGTGTGGAATTTGTTGACATCCTCAGGATGAGGCTATAAAACATACTTTATTATAGCTTATTCTAGCACAAGGCGATTCTCCGAGAGCAGTTCCAGCCCAAGGAAGGGGAGGGAAGCGGGCAGCTTATCAGAGCACCTAGAGCCTTTCTGGAGCACCTGAGCTTTAGAGCAAAGGTTGGTGTTGTCCTTGAGGCCCTTGGGCTGACCAGAGATTTGATGCAACAGCAGCTGACCATGATCCTTCAGGTCACCCAAAACACTTTCTGCTCGAAGCGTGTGCATATGTGCAATGGATAAGTCAAGAAGGTAGGGGAAAAGCCAGAGCAATGTAAGGTCCATCCGCGTGCCTGGGCTGACTGTACCCCACCAGGGAGGCTGGTCTGTGGCTAGAGAGGCTCCGGCCCAGCTCAGCTTGGAGATGGGGAAAAGCAGTTGGAGAAGGAAGATGCAAAATGCTCTGGACCCTCTTTCTACCCTGGTGCTGCCATGACCTTGTTCGAGGGAACAAGATGGGTCTTGAGGGCCCAGTTCAACATCCCTCGTGGTGGGGAGGGGGCCGCGGTGCTGACAGAGGTGGTGGTCACCCTGCAGAGGAGGTGGCTTCCGTCGCTGTCGGAAGGAGCCGGGCCCGCCCCGCCGGCCCCGTCCCGCTGCCGAAGGTGCTTCGGGCGCCAGCGCCGCGAGGACGGCACCCGCTGCTCCTTGGCTTTTTATGGTAAGGAATGTCTGGGCTGCGTCCCACCGGAGCGCGCGGGGCCCCTGCTCGCTCCCACCACGCGCGCAAGCGCCTCGTCCCCTTGCCCTGGGCGAGGAGCAGCCTCCTGTGTGCCCCAGTGTTTTGACACCCTCTTTGCTCTCTCTCACAGGTCCCCGGCCCAGCTGCTGCTGGGGCCAGCACGGCCGCGGCGCATCTGCCTCTCGGCCTTCGCTGTTTTGGGGCCAGAACCCCCTTTTTCCTACTCCTGTTGCCTGAGGCCTGCGGCCTGGCACAGGCACCAGGATGGGACCTTGATCCGGGGTCCCTGCAGCCCCTTGGGTTGCCGTCCCCAGGGCTGGAGCCTCAAAGGCCTCAGCCTCGGCTCTCATCCCCCCTTCTTCATCCTCCCCGCGATGCCTTGGGAAGCTCCTGCCCCCTGTGCAGCTGCTTTCTGCCAACCTTGACGTTTCTCTCAAATGACTCCCTTCCTCCCCGAGCAGTTGGGCTTGATGGAAACCGAATTCAGCCTATTTATTTTCCTTTCCCATGTGCATCTGCTTCTGTTAAACTTTAATGGCACCCCTGGGCCTGTCAGTAAGGTTTAAAGCAGGAAGATGGAGGGGAGAGCCGGCCGCACACATATCGCGGCCACGCGACGTCCCTGCGTCCCGCTGTGTTTGTGCTGCCCACCAGGCTCTCGGGCTCTGCCTCCCTCAGGGAAGGGCTTTTTCCCCCCGTTTCCATGTTGGCAGCAAAACCCCGTGGCCTCCAAGGGCTCCTGGTGTCAGAAGCTGGCCCTGAAGGAGATAGTACTGGGCTGATGGGAAGAGGGAGCAAGGGGAAAGAAGGGACGGGGCAAGGGGCTGGCTTGACGCTTGCTTTGCTTTGAGGAGCGTGGTGGCAGCCACGTCCTGCCCTCCTTACTATAAAAAGGGGGCTTCACATTCTTGGCTGGTCTCCCATCAGCAGCCTCCTGCTCCCTGCCTCAGTTTCCCCTGTCCTGGGTTGGAAAGAGCCTCGGCAGGAGAAGGGGGAGGATGAGGGGCAGCCCAGCCCAAACACCCCAGAGCGGGGGTAAGACTCGCTGTCTGCAACTACGTTTCTTCCTCCTCTTTTTCCTCCGTGTGGTCTGGTCCTTCCGTGGGGCTCCTGGAAGGCTGCTCCTGCTGCACTGTGTCTGGAAGGTGCTGTCAGGCTCTTCCCGGAGGCGCCCCGGCGTCCTGGCACTTGTGCGGTTTGTTCCTGAACCCGCTCGGTCCCATCCAAGCGCATTTTCCTTGCCCGAGCGCCTCCGCGCTTCTCCTCGCCAGCTGGGCTCGCAGGGCACGGAGAGATGGCTATGGACAGGTCTCTGTGGCACTGCCTCTTCCCACCAGCCTCGTTGCTGCAGGAACGTGGCTGCAATGAAATCTTGGAAAACCAAGGCACGAGGAGCCGTTCCAGGAGCTGCGGTAAATCCACGTGTGTCCCAGGGAGAGGATGGGGCAGCTGGTGGTGGCAGCAGAGGTGGTGCCCACGCGCGGTGCGGGACGGGCAGGGGCCTCCTTGGCGGCTCAGCGTCACGGTGCAGGATGGGCCCTGGGGGTGACTTTGAGCCCCCCTCCAGGGCCTGCATGGGGTTTACACTTGCGGGCTGCCTCTCAGACCTGCGACTTGGTTATTTTTGCATTGTTTTGAGCACTACAAACAGTTGAGCCGTGAAGCAACAACCTCTCCTCCCTCAGCCTCGTGCACAGGGCAGACTGGGGGCTGTTGCCTGCTCCTCGGCACTTCCCTGGGGACAAGAGGGTCCCCTCGGGCCAGGCACTTGCAGGCAGCTGTGAAGGAGCAACAAGCCTGGGGCGAGTCGGGGACCTGGCAGCAGGGCCCGTGGGGTGTCACGAGCACCGCAGGGTCTCTGCACCCTCTGGGGAGCCGGTTGCTCCAGGGGTGAGCAGAGCCCCCCGGTTTGGCCAGGGGCAGAGCAGGGCCCCGGTCACCGGGCAGAGCAGCAGCCACCGCTGTGAGATCTTGTCCATCTCCACGCGGAGCTGGATGAGGGAAGCCGGAGATGAGGCCGTTCTGCTGTGCCTGATGAAACATTTTCCACAGCTGCATAAGGTCCGGCAGAAGAGAGAGATATAAGATATAAGTAATAGCGCTGTTTACAGACTCACTCTCTGGGACTTCTGCTGAGAGCGAGCCTAGACTAAATATAATTGTCACTGATAGGAGGCGGGGGCCGATTTATGGTCCTCCGTGCGAGGAGAGGGACATCTGGTTAGAGAAACGCTCAGCAGAGGAAAGCGAGCGGCAGCCAGCGAGCGCCGCGCGGGGTGACAGGGCAGCCGAGGGTCACATGAGCATTTGGGGCCACCTCACACGGGGACGTGGCCACGGGTCAGCGGTTATGGGGATGGGGAGCAGAACTGTCCCTCACTGCCAGCGCTGGGGTTGTGCTCGGACATAACCCGCTGCCTCCACGACTGCCCCTTATCCGAGTTCCTACTGCCCTCCCCAGCCCTGCTATGGATGCAGCCCCAGCGGAGAGGAAACGGGAGCTGCGGCCCCAAGGCACTCGGACACGGGAGGGGGACGTCGTCTTTATTGAGGCTCCCCCAAAGGCCATGGATTCCCCTGGCTCTCCTGTATCCCCTGCCCAGTGTCACCCGAGCCCCTGCCGCTGGCTGCATCCAAGGAGCCCTGCTCCGTTCTGCTTCCCGCACGGGAACAGCCTCCATCCCTGGCCGCTCTGCAGCGACCTCGGCAGAGCCTCGGCCGTGTGGGAAGGTCGGAGCCATAGGCAGCAACAAGTGATTCCACCCGAAAATCGACTCAGGGTTTTGATCTCAGCACAAGGTCAGGGGAAACAAATCCTGCACTTGGATCCTCAGGCGTTTACTCAGCTGAGCGCTTGGAAAGCAGCATCGCTTGAGCAGTTTGGGAGCCTTTGAAAGGGAAAAAGGTGGAAATGGATGCGTTAAATACAGCGTAGCCCGTGCCCAGGCTTGGGAACGCTGCGAAGCCGGGGGAGGCAGCTCTGCTAGGAGACGCTGAAGGTGAGGAAGGAGCCGGGCACTTTTCGCTGCTGTCCCGCTGCCTCCTGCCAGCGCTGGGGCCGGCCCGGCAGGGCTTCGCTCGGGCGCGTGGCCTCGCTGGACTCTGCCTCCAGCGCGCTCGCCGTGTTCGTCCCCTGCACCGCGTGCACCTCGCTGGCTGCCTTCCCACGCAGGAGACAGATGAAGATCTTCTTGAAGCCCTTGCGGAAGTGCTTGGAGACCAGCGCGTAGACAATGGGGTTCACGCAGGAGTTGGCGTAGGAGATGAGGTGGGAGAGGATGCGGAGCGCGTAGGTGACGTGATTGAGGGGGAAATACCCAAACCAAACGCAGAGGATGACCAGGTGGTGGGGCAGCCAACAGAGGCAGAACAGGACAGCTACAATGATGATCATCCTGGTCACCTTCCGCTTGGCTTTTTTGGACTCTGACATGTCTTGGAGAGGGTCCACAGACCTCCAGAGGTAGCGGATAGTCCGCATGTACGTGAGACTCAGGATCAGCACGGGAATGACGTAGCTGAAGACAAACGTGCAGATGTCCATGACCTTGCGCCGGGAGATCTCCCAGATGGGGTGGCACACAGTCAGGTTGGCCACCTCAAACTGCTGGTAGTAACTGAGGTAAGGGCCCGAGAAAATGAGGGAAAAAGCCCAGATGAGGCAACTTAGGGCGTTCCGGGATGTCCTCAGCTCGCGGGAGTGCAGGGGATAGCGAATGGCCAGGGACCTGTGTGGAGGAGGAGAGATGCAGCTGCAGCTCCGCCCCAGTGCGAGCCTCTGCGCTGGGAGCTGCCTCCAGGAGGGCATAAGGATTTTAGCTCCCCTGGGCTCATTCTGTGTCTAAGGGTCCCCCTGCTCAGATGATGATGGCCTCAGGGTGGTGGCCTGGAGCCCAAGTAAACTGGGAGCTCGGGGAAAGGCCAGGGCAGCAGTTTGAGAGCCATCCCAGGGGGTCAGCACCACTCCACTCCCATCTGTGCTCCGGGAAGAAGACAGGGCTGGTCCCCTTCTGTCCTGCTCCCTTTGTAAAACGCCAGCTCTGCAGCCGGTCCTTAGCTGAGCTCGCACATGCGGCAGCGGGGATCAGCGTCCGGGTGCGTTTTAGCGCCCCGCTTCCCTCAGCAGCTCTCAGGGATGAGGACGGGGCCACACGGAGCCAGCTCTGCCCAGGGCTGCCCCGGCTCTCTCCAGGGGACATCTGCGGGGTCCCTTTGCACTGTGCCAGCCCTGGAGCACCCCAAGGAGCAGCTCTAGGGGCTCCTGGCTCTTCCTGGGGGTGTCAGTGCCGGGACAGCCCTTGCAGAAGCAGCGCAGGGCAGGTGCAGGCAGCAGCACCCGCTCACAGCTCTGCCCAGCCTGGGCAGTCACTGCCACCAGGGACGCAGCCCAGGGAGAAACCGACTTCCCACTAACTAGCGGGGATGGGGGGACAAGAGCTGTCCCCTCTAACCCACCTCTGCGTCCCCTCCTTCTCTTGGCTCTCCTGCTCCACCACGGCCTCTCCGCGCGACCCCGCGAGCCGGGGCTGCCGCTTGCTGCGCCAGGATGGAGCAGGGACAAAGCTCTGCAGCTCTCTGGTTTCCTGCCCAATCCTGAGAGGGAGCCGCAATCCCCCTGCTTCGGAGCAGGCTGCGAGCTCCTGCCGGGGGACCGCACAGCCCTCCCCAGCCTGGCAGCGCTTCCCAGTATGAGAGCTCGGAGCTCAAGTGACCCCAAGAAACGCTCCCCATTCCCTTGTGCGTCCTAAGAGGTGCCCTGCTCCCCTTGACCCCATCCCAGCAAGCTGGGGAGTTCCAGGCGCACAAGGAGTCCCCCCCGCTTCCTACCTGTCCACGGAGACGGTGGCCAGGGTGAAGCTGCTCGCGTACATGGTGAGGAAGATGAAGAAGTGGACGGCCTTGCAGAGGAAGGGCCCGAACACCCAGCCGTCCAGCGTGTAGATGGTGGCTTGGAAGGGGACGCAGAAGAGGATGAAGCAGAGGTCAGCCACCCCCAGGTTGAGGATGAAGAGGTTGGTGGTGTTGTTGACCTGCCCGTTGCGCAGCAGCACAGCCAGCACCAGGCAGTTGCCCACGGTGCCCACGAGGAAGATGAGCAGGTAGAGCAGCGGCACCACCAGCGCCTCGGGCTGC